GGCGGCGAGGAGCGGCGCTGCCGGCAGCCGCACATGAAGGCAGCTGGAGAGAACCATTTGCCTGGCTGCGCTGCCTGCAGGAGGGCAGGTTCAGGGCTCGCTCGCTCTTTCTCCCTGTTTTGTTGTAATTTAGTATTCTTGTCTCACCCCACAGGGGTTCCTCAGCCGTCGGCTTAAAGGCTCCATCAAAAGGACAAAGAGCCAACCGAAGCTTGATAGGAACAGCAGCTTCCGGCACATTTTACCTGGCTTCAGGAGCGTGGACAATGAAAGGTAAGGGGTCGCTTCTCGGAGGGTGGGGAGGAGGGTGTGCGAGGCAGAACGGGGGGATTGATTTCTCCAGGTCTTGTTAATACCTTGCTTATCTTATTCAGAGCAAGGGCCCCATCTGTGACAGAAGTAGACTTGCTTAATTGCAAGAGGGGGGATTTTAATTTGTCGGCGAGTATACAGTGCAAGCCCTTCCTGTTTAGGTTAAAGAATACGGACAGAGAAGCCTGACTGCTCTGCTTTCTCCTCCCCAATAAATCCTAAGTTGATGCACCAGCATATAAATAGCACGTAGATGCAGCAGCCAAAGCCGGCTGATGCAGGTGAGGGAGGGAGGGGAGGGATGCTCACACACTGGGACTACATTGAACGTCCCTGGGTTACGCGTTGTATGAACAATAACAGAGAACACTAACAACCGTAAGCTCCCCAAATCCCTCTCTCTCCCTTCCACGCACGTACATCTTCAGCATCGCTGTTGGCTGCCGTCATTGCACTGAGATGGATTCTCGGCATGTGGCCGAAGCTGCTTTTTCTGTCTGAGCCATGACAGGATCTTTCGGTCCAGGAGGGATGCGTTGCAGGGAGTGTGCAGATGGATCGGAGGAAGCGTTTGACATGGGATGGCCAGTACTGGAGCAAATGGCAAGCAAAATAAAGGGGGAATGAGACCTTGGCTTTATTCTTAGCTCAGTTTGGAAAGTAAAGTAGCTCTTTAGTGGATGTGTGTGTGTTTATGTACACGCAGATTTGTCAGTGTGTGCATGAGACAAATGCACATTCTAGGTAAACATATGTGTAAATTCACACGCAGATCAAGGTCACGGCTGGGTAAGACAGACTCCAGTACCAGGCACAGGAACAAACTAGTGGTTTGCTGCCAAAAGGAAGAGCTTTCAACCTTACGTGAATCATTTGGGGGAATGACACAGAGGTATTTAAGTGCCAAAAAAAGTCTATGTCTGGAAAATACGCCAAACTGGATATACAGCGATGTAACCATTTTGCAGCAGTGGCATTTTAAAATATCAAGACAGTGCTTTAGAATCCCTTGAGTAAATGCTTCGCTTTCGAAAGCAATGACAACTTTTACTTTGTTTTAGCTATACTCATTCACTGGAGGGGCCGTGAATTGCTGAAGCCCACAAACGACAGTTGTCAGTCTGGATTTTTCTTTACCTGACCTGTTACAGCCTCCTGAGCTCTTTCCTTCTGGATTCTGCGAGTAAAAGGATTGTGCTGGTCAGTGCAGAGTAATATTTTGGGCGTTACTATCTGAGAAGACAGAGTTGATTTGGTTCCTGTGCTGCAGTTTTCACAAACGCTCGAAGTAGGGCACTGTGTTCCATATGGAAGGCAAGCGAGTGTAGCCGGGCGGCCGGGAATCTGCCTACGGTGCTACCGCTTCACTCAGGGAACAGGCAAATTAGGCAATGCTTTCTTTCTACCTTGATGAGTTTTGTTTCGTTCTGTGAACTGGCAGTATAGGACCTGGGAATTAACTGTTTCAGCCAGTCCTGCAGCCAAAGTCATTTTCCCAAATTAAGCTTTGTAATTTCCCTGCCCTCCCAGCACGAGAGCCCTGGAGCTCGCTGGGCAGCGTCCCTTCAGAGGGAGCCAGATTTACTGCAACTTTTCTTCCAAGAGATTCAGTGAACGGCTGTAGTGCATTTTCAGTGTGGAGCTTAAAGGGTGGGTTAGAGGAGAGGTAGCATCTAGCAGCCTTGAATAAACCCAAATGCTTGCTTACATGAGTCTTTAGGAACTGAAAATGAAAGGCTGCCATTTGGCAGGTATCGCTCCTAAATACGCTTCACCTGTTATGCATAGACGTGCCCTGATCTGGAGGAAGCTGGCTGGCACTGGGGAGCCGTTGACAGCAAGCTTTTAGTCTCCTAGCTTTCCTAGTGGTGTCAGCTCTATAATGTGAGCGTCGGATCTATAATGCAAGCGAGTATCCTTCTGCAGAGATCTTGGCCTTGGGTACTGTTGCTCTTGGAGAGGTGAAAGAAAAGCAGCAGCTGGGCTTCTCAGTCGTGCATCCAGGTTTCGGTTACGGGAGATAATTTTATCTTCCTGAACATTCCCATCCACGTCTGCTGAAATGCACAATGCACTCACTTCTGTGCATGAAAGGGCTTGAGTCTTTTAGATCCCTCTCATGCATTTTCTGCTCTGCTTCCTTGTCTGTCTTGAAATCCAAGAACTGCTTCAAAGAAGCATCTGGTATTGGAATATTTGCCTCTTAAATATTTGATTCTTGACTCCATCTTGTATCTGAGCTGATTGTTCACGAACCGCTCCTTTGCTCCTGGAAGTCACCATTATAGCAGCGTTCTGTGCTGGAGCTTTGGAGGATTTTGCGGGAGATGCCATAGCAAAAATGAATAGTGCAATAAATGCAGTCGAAACACTCCAGGTTGAAATATTGAGCTATAGTAGATCATAAATGATTCTGTTCCTTGGCTGCTGCGTATCTAATTTGGTACGGTGTCATGCCTCTTAGTTGCTTTATTTTTCCTTTTCTTGCATGCCCTGTTTATCCTGCTATGTGCAGCAGATGCGTGTGAATATATGAAATGTGCCCACGCGTGTACAGACACTGGGTGGCCGTGGCGTGTGTGTAGAGCAGAGAAGAGACTATAAAACATATCAGTGCTTTTTAGCCTGTGTTTGATTAATGCATGCGTTTGAATACATCATGTAAATTCAGAATGGAAAATCATTGCCTCCTACAATAGTGAGAAATTTGTACGGTGTGAGTTTTATAACAAAGGGAAGCAAGGAAATAGCATGAAAGATTGGAAAAGTCACAGAACGTCTCGCTGGCATCAGTTCAGAGCCGCCTTGAGAATCTTGTGCCGGTGGAGCCGGGTTTTCGTACCTTGCATTGGCACGGAGCGAAGAGCCAGGCTCCCAGCGGGGTCTCGCAGGGCTGCCCTCACAACGCGTGGCTGCTGCGTCCTGGGGAGGAGCTGGCAGCTCGGAAACGGGGGCGCGGGGTTCTTCGTCAAGCCCCCCCGCCAGCTCCAGGGTCCCGTGTCCCTTGCCAGGCCGCTGTGGGCGGTTCTGCCATGGCGGGTGCCTGCGTGCTCGGAGCAACTGCGCAAACTTAGGGAATTCTGGGGTAGTAAAACCTTGGCCAACCATGTTTTCTCTATAGGGAACAGCTGAGGAATTGCTCAAAGTGGCGTGTTAGAAAAATACGCTGATCGTAGTCAAGCAGAGCTTACGTCTGTAGAAGAAACGTGGTTGTTTCTCATGGCGTTGGATTTTACATTGACTGAGAAGAGACCTTTTATTTGAAAAAAGGTGGGATAAGGGATTTGCACTAACCCCAGTAAACTACCCCGAGGTTCACATTGATGTAGTTGGCCAAATTTTGCCAGTCTTTGGCATACTGGTTTTTTTTTTCTAGGAGTCCTGTTACAGCAACAGTAATAAAATTATCGATTGTGAACAAGAGAAGCAAAATCAGACCAAGTCTTAACTAGGGTTCTGTATGAGAGGTGCATTAATCTGGTAGGGTCGGTTTATATAAATGTGAGATTTAAAGGAGGATTGTGGAACGAGTGCTCCTGTTGGTTCGTTGGCTGGTCAGATTGCTCATTAGAGCTGAAAAGGGTTCCCTTAAAGTGGTTTTTTGCTAACAATGTCTCCTGCATCCTGATTTATTACAGCAGCTAACAAAGTTTTTATCACGGAGCGCTGAATGTTTGTCTGTGTAGCAGCCTCTCTGGAATCAGCCACAAATCAAGCCTTTGGCAGAGGGATTTTTCTTAATTGGGCCCACATTTCTCCTACAGAATTTGTGATGGAGAAAGTTTCAGGATTGGGGTTTGGGCACAGGGAGGAGAGAGAGAACTGAGGGGTTATTCTGCAGCAGTTGTTAATGATGGTCGTTAGTGCATATCTGAGAGTTTTCTCGTTGTAGTGACCTTTTCAGTCACTGCCGTCACTGCGTTACAGCAATCTGTTCAAAAATAATTTCTGACAGTTTGTCGGGAATGCAGAGGGTCGGTTTATATGGGCATTGGCTGAAAAAAGGTGGAATAAGGGAATCTTTTTTTTTTTTTTTTTTTTTTTTTTAAATCTAAATACACGACCTTGGTGCCATCTCCTCTGAAACTGGCACAGGCTGCCGTGGCGTCGCACCGGCGCAGAGAGGGCAGGGGTGCAGGAGCACTTTGGGGGGCAAATACCTTCCGACGGCCCTGCTTCGGTGGCGGACGGGCGCTCCGGGTGACTCCCTAGCCTGATGAAGTCCCCGAGCTGATCGTTCCTGGGGACACTTTTCCTCCGTGCACCTAGAATTCATTTCACGCTAAGGGACTCTCAATTACCAACATTTGTGATTATTTTGCGAGGGGTTTTTTCATCATTCCGGAAGATAACACCCTATTTAAGCCTTTTCTTGGCACTACAAAAGTCTGAGCATATGGTTGATTGTTAAATGAGCCTCAGCCTTGGAAGGGGGACAGCCCTGCATTAATAACAGCAGCGACTTGCACTACTGCTACTTCCTCTTTAAACTGCTTTTTTTTTTTTTTTTATCCTATCAAAAATTTGGGCTTTTAACCCACAGAGGGAAGCGGAAGTTTACAAGTCACGTACTAGAGCGCATTTAATCCCTGATCTAGTGCTCATGCAGTCTGCTCCACGGGTTCTCAAATGTTCATAAAGCTTATTTTGATGCCGTAGGAGAGCATCAATAACTCATGACCGTCTGTACTCTTAGAGTAAATTTAGTTTGTGAGTTCTTTTTAGGTCCAATTATCATTTGTTTATTCCCCATAAGCTTGATAGGCCAAATATTTTTAGGCACGATGAAATGGTTTAAGTTTGATGAGAACCTGGTGAGTGCTGCGCTACAAAGGATGGAGAAGTCACCCTGTTCCTTTTGGAAAGAGGAATGATTCATCCCGCGGAACTGGGACGCTGGCAGACCCCGGAACGCAGGGGGGGCGTTCAGATCTGTGGGAACAAGTGCTGGAGAGCTTGCG